GACTCTTCTATAGCCTGGGCACATGCTAAAATACTAGAAAAACTTTGAAGTGTCAAAATGTATAATCATGGAAAATATTTTTATCACATTCATATTTATCCAACAAATCACCTCAAAGTTGGTCATTTGCCAGGTCAAGGATGTCCCAAGGCTCTCCAAAAACAGAACACAGTGTGCAGGGAGCTTGCAAATAGTACAACTATGACCCACTGTGCCATTCTGGTCAGTTCAGCTGTTGACTTGTTTGTGTGAACTGAGCCGTGAATTGTGGTTAGTAGAAGCCATAACGAAACGGGGGTCCACCAGACGCTGCATGGTTCTGGCCTCTCCCATGGGAGTCCTCCACTACACCATGAATTCCAAGGTGGCAACAGGACAGAGTGGAGCAAGCACAGATATTCTGGAATCATGCAGATGTGGACTTGAATTCTGGTCCCCTATGGTCCAGCGGGGTGACCTTGGACAACTGACAAACTAGCTGAGCCTCAGTTTCCTAACTTAAAAATGGAGCTAGGGTAATCTGGGTGGCTCAGTAGGTTGAGCATCTGACTTTTGGTTTCAGCTCAGGTTATGATCTTGGGGTCCTGGGATGGAGCCCCACATCGGGCTCTGCACTCATCGGGGAGTCTGCTTGAGATTCTCTCTCCCTCTGCCCCTCCCCCTGTGCTCATGCACGCTCTCTCTCTCTCTCAAATAAATAAATAAATAAATAATAAAATCTTTTTTTTAAAAAATGGAGCTAATACTGACCTCGCAAGATTTTTATGAGCGTTAATAATGTGCCAAGCAACTAATAGTAGCTTAACAACACTAGTCGCTTAATAAATGCTGGAACCCTTCTTTTCAAAGCCCACAGTGATGTCTTCCTCTAAAGTCTGACAGCATTTACTTTCTACACAACTCATTTCACATTTACTCTCCCAACTTGCACATTCAGTAATGTTTCGCATTCCTTCCTTATCCAAACCATGTCTTCTATTTTATCCAAATGAGGGAGTGTGCATATAGGACTGAACACAATATTGGCAGATACATTTAGTGCCTAATAAGTGAAAGCCATAAATAAATAGTATTATCTCACACACTGTCAACTCAAAAGCCTTACATGAACCCTGCATTCAATAAATATTTACTGATTTATTGTCCAAGATAAATTAGCTATAAACTCCAGCTTTATGGATGTACAATCTGAACATGAAAATCTTCAGTTGGATGGCTCCCGTGATCCAGTGTTTTTTGGAGAATGATGGAAACTGAAGGAGTTACATAAAGACTGAAATCAGGAAACTGTCCCAGTTCTTTTCAAGCAAATAAAGGAACTCAATTTGGCCAACTATAGACCAGCCAACTTATTTTTGACTGGGTTAATATATGGTTTAAGACACCAGTGAACATTTCAATAAATGGAATAAGAAAATAGGAGATTAGTCATCCAGGAACGATTACACAAAGATCAGAATTAGAAACGGAGCTGTCTTCTGGGGTCTAGTTAGAATCACACAAGGTTGTGACTCTTGGAGAGTGTGTTCAAGTCAGAAAAGTCAGGACTCAGTTGTTTCAGGTCAGGGAAGAAAAGAGAAACTTTAGAGCTTTTGTGAACTTTGGAAGCCAGGATATAGAGTCATTTCTGAAGACAGTGCAGTATTTAATGGGGACAGGCAAGGAAAAACAGCTTTTCTTTGCTGTATGTGAGCCATGGAGTATAAGTGACAAGAAGAAAAAGCAGGTGAGAAATTGGGCTACAGAACATCTTGCTTATGCTACGCAGATGGAACCTCTTTACTCCTGGGTGCTAATAATCAGACAAGTCCAAGTTGGAGTTCAAGCCTTAGATGAATAATGTGAGCTGCAGGAGTCCTTCAAATCCTTAACTTCTAAGGATTCTGTATATATTGCGATCCATGTGAGAACACAGCTAAACGACGATTCCCCACAAACTTATGAAAAATACTTTGTTTAAGTTAAAGGAGACAAAGGACTAATGAAAAGGAGGTAGCTAATCAGATGGAGGCAAAATACAGTCTTCTGTTGGGTGATAAGGAAAGTCGAGAACAGTCTCTATTTCACACTGCTGATATGGGGGGGAGTATTTGTAATTCCTTTTCTGTTCTCCAAAAATGCATATTCTTTGCTAGTTCAATGATAATGACTGGGTTAATCAACAGTGCATTTTGAACTGAGGTCAGAAAATACAAGGTTGCCCCTCAGCCCTTTTAATGGAGGAAAACAGGAAACCATAGTAAGGATCAGTAGTATTTCTTTTTGCCTCAGTCATACAAGTTTGCATGCATACACATGGACTTGCATACTACATCGTGATGCAAAATGTATTTCTTACTGTACATCCTCTGTAAAAGAGTTCAAAAAACTTGAAAAATTAGGGGCGGCTGGCTGGCTCAGTCAGTGGAGCACGCAACCCTCGATCTCAGGGTTGAGTTCAAGCCCTCTGGGGCAGAGAGCTTACTGTAAAAATTTTTGAAAAATTACAATAGGGAAACCAGATGGAGCACTTCCTATGAAAAATTCGCCAAGTCAATGGAGTGGTGAATTTCTTTTAGGAAGACTCATGTGAGACACATGGAAAACCCCAAGAAAGTGAGGTTCACTTAAATGCTAGGCCAGAGTACTCAACACCGTATTTCTTTTTGCCTTGCTTTTGTAGTTTAGCATTTGTCTAAATACACTCTTGAGTAATAATACTTATTTTTACTTACTACAATATAGTGTCCTTTCAAAGTTATATTATATAGAGAGCATCGTGATAATCATATTTTATATAGCAACAACAACCCCACAACCTCTGGTTTTTATTTCTAGTCCTAACATTGGCTGATTTCAAGACTCTTTGGGCCTCATTATCTTCATATGCTCTCTTTTACACAAAATGAGAGTGAGGAGAAAAGATGGCTGAAGTGTCTTCAGTTTTAAAATGCTATTGTTTGATTTAGTGGAAACGTAGATATTTCTCTCTCTCAATACTTCCTGGGTATTTGGACCACAAGATCAAACAAACAAACAAAAAATCATTGTCTTCCTTGCAGCAACAAATGCCAACTGCAACAGGATTGAAATACTTTGCTAGGAATGAAAAGTCCCTTGAGCCTTGACCTATAAACCCTGACCTTAAATGCAAAACCATGACCATCCATTGGCGATCATCTAAAAATCACTTTCCCTCATGTTCAGAGGGCATGTCTCACTTTCTGTCACACTGTCACTCTCCGTGTATTTGCAGGACAGGATTTTGCTTTGTCTACTACACTCTTTAGGGATACATGTGTATCGACATATGTAGGTCAGAAAATTATATCATGGAAATTCATATTTCAAAGGCTGTCTGGGCCATTGTTTGAGAATTCCTGGAAGATTTTCCTATGGTCGAAGCATTCAATTCCTCTTGAGGAGCAGGGAAGACTCAGTCTGGCAAGAACAAGAATAGGACTTCCAAAAAAAACAAACACAACTTGTGACTTGCTGAGAGTGACTCAGGCACTGGCCCTGTGCCCCCCGCGTCACAGGTGATCCATCACCAACACCGTCAGAGGATGCCCGCTGCCAGATCTTCTGAGTGCTGTGAGGGAGACATGCCTTTCTCTACATCAGCTGATTTCATGTCCTGGCACGGGAAAAACCTTCAGAAAGGAAAACCAGGACTGGGTTGCTAAGAGAGCAACAACTACTGAGGGAGGACCTATCATGTGCAATGCGGTTCAGAACTGATGCTGCTCTTGGCAATCGAGCTGTTCACCTCCTCCTGATGAGTGCTAAAATGCATGGGAAAGACAGTGCATCAGGGGTCCTGGGGATGGAGCCACTGTGTGGTCTGGGGCAATCAATGAAAATGTCATTCCTGAAACAGAAATGCAGCTGAGCCTTGCACTAAGAGTAAGAACACACCTAAGATAGGGAAAGCAAAGGACATTTGCAAAGCGGGGAACAAGGCATATGAAAGCACAGAGGCAGAAAGCCCTGTTGGCACAGATCAAGAATGAACATGAAGTACTAACTTTGGAATCTGCATGTCACATCTCCAATGTGATAAAAGGAACATATCCTACCCGGCTCACAAAAGTAACAGGATTCACATGGCAAATAGGTAACAGCTTTTCCCCAGATCTACATTCTAGAACATGGTGTCTTAGAAAATACTTTTAATCAGTTGTCTTATTTCCCATCACTTTCTTTGTAGTTCATATGTAACCCTAATTTCCCACATCTCTTTAATCTAGAGGGGGAGATCTAGGTCAATTATAGAACTGAATGAAATTCAATCAAAATCTTATTATTATATTATTATTATATTATACACTGCTAAGACCTGTAGGGGAAAACAGAAAAGGCTAAGTGGGATTTCTGTTTTCAAGAAACTTTGGTAGAAAAGACAAAACATTGGCCCGTGAAACTAATAAATAAAATGCTGCCTTATATTATAGGAAGATGAACCACAACCAGTATTTTCACTTGAAGTTTATAGCTGGCATGGTCTACATAGGCATATGTAAATCATTTGTCAATAGGACCCATGACTCACCTGAGGGCTGCCACCAACTGTTGCCCACTGCGGGCACTGCATAAAAAAAGCATTTGACCTCGGAAGTGAGCTCTCAGCTTACCATGACATATGTGTGATGCCACATCTGTCCAGAGGAGGGCATCATTTTCTAATTCTTCCACGTGGAAAGGGCACCTGTTCTTAATTCCTCCATCTAGAGGGGACACCTTTCTCTCATTAGCTCAAAAGCCTCTGAGAGATGAGTTGGGGGTCCTGATCCTCCTTTTTCATACGAGTAGATATGGCTCTTGATGAAATACTTTGTAGATTACTCAACTTACTCACTGGGGAATCTTGGGGAAAAATAAGTAAGCTGGAGAAGAGATGGGGTGGTGGTAATGAACATTCATTATTTTGGACATCATCATTGTATAAGCACCACTGTTTACACCATGCTTCACTGCACACACCTCAGTGGTGTTCCAATGGGAGAGGTGGCTCAGCTTACCTCGTTCTCCAGGGGTCCCTGGCATGCCTGCATTTCCTGGGAAGCCTGGGGTCCCTGGGGGTCCTTGTTCACCAGGGTTTCCAGGTGACCCTGGTCTGCCAGGCTCCCCAGGAGGCCCCTGGATGGTCCGGACTGATGAGGACTGGCTGGGAATCTGGTTGAGGATGGCCGTGTACCTGGCCATGTGACCTGAGACACAAAGGGCAGAGACATCCTTCAGTGAACTGTCACACGCAGAAAGGGAAGACCAGCGGTATTATCGGTCAAGGCTCTGAACCATTCCATTCGACAACCACAAGAGGAAAAGCACACTCTCTGAAATATGTTGATTTCCAACTTAAAAATGATGACATTTTACTTTGGATGATATTAACAGCTGGACCGTATTCAAGGTGCATCTCAAGTGTTTGGAATTCCACAGCTCACATCAGCACCTCAGTAAACATCATGGGCAGAAGTCATACATTTGGTTTTTGCCCCCAACATTTATCTGACCCCTTAACCCTCACCCAGCTGCCCCTTTTCTCTAGCAACACCCCTCTTCCCAACTTACTTGTCTTTTTTCCAACCCACAAAGCCTGCTCCACCCTCTTGCTCACAAACCCCCAGACAAGTGTTTTGTTTCAATCTGACTCTTCGTTGCCAAGCCTTTTTGCAGGAACCTTTACTTGGGTCCCAGCTGCAGATACTCCCACTAGCTTTATTTATTTTGTTTTAAATCTGGCTCTCCCTCCTATAATCCCTTAACTCAGTTATGCCTGGAAGAACATATTTTAATAATCAGAAGTATACATTGGTAAAGTGCTTGATATCATAACACCTCGGTTTTCTGGCAACATCAGAAGATAAGATTTTCCCACATTAGTGAATTTTCTAGATGAAAACCTATCCCTTTTCTAACATACAGATCTAAATAAAGAATAGTAACCATTCTAGAGGGATTATTTCTAAAATATATTCAATGCCTTCTTAAGCATAGGACCATGACCGCAACTGATGACTCGGAGGCCATCTGTAGGCATGCCCACGATTGTCCGAGTGGGGTCGACATTTCCACATCTGCTTTTCCAGGTTCTTCCTTTATCATGTCTCTGGCTATCATCACTTTGGTCTCACACAGTTTCCCACGGTCACGTTTCCTAGAGTAATTCTTCTGATCAGCTCTGGACTAAAATCTGGATAACTGAGCATGTGAGGAATTATATGCTAACTGATGAATCAAGTTCTGAGGAGAAACCTAAGCAATGGAATAAGGAGCCCAGAGGAACCTGAAGTAGCACGTGGGAAGGTCGCTGAGGTGCCAGCAACAGCCCCTGGGCGTGTTGGGTCTTGCTCATAAAGTTGTGTGCAATCTTTTCTATTTCTTCTCTCCCAGCTGCATTCACAGACAGGGCCTCCCTATTCTACAGGCTTCTTTCAGTTTCCTTGCATCACTCCCTGCTGGCTTCCATTTCCTCGAAGTCATTCACAAGAATCTGAGAATTCCCAAAGGGGAAAGATGCAATTTTGAACTTTCAATTTTTAGGGCATGTCTTAAATGATCATATATTTATGTAAGATTTTTATTCTATAGTGGCATATGACAGCAACTATTGTGAAATCTCCCACATACTGTAGTCAGTGAGTCCTACCTGGATTTAACCCCTAGGCTTCCTTAAAATAATTCCTTGCTCATTTACACTGTATACTTGAAATGAGAAACCTACAAAATAATCCAAGGTACAGGTTAGCTTTAGACGTATTCAATGTTCAATTTAGCTTTTATAATTTATTGTTCAATGTTCAATTTAGCTTTTACAATGTTCAATTTAACTTTTATAATTCATTGTGTTTTTAAAGATCTTGCTTTGGCAATAAACTTAAATAGTTTCACTTAAAACTGGTCAATTCTCTCAGATACACACATTTAATTTGGGCAATATAATATAAATGAAATAAAGTTAAAATATAGGGAGCATTACTGTTATGTCTGAAGATGACAGCTTTGTACATGGTTTGCACAATTAATGTCTTAATGAAAACTCTCCCAAGCTGATGTGCACCTTCACTTGATGCCTTCCCAAAGATGAGATCTGGGTTTATCTACTACAGATGGGATTTAGGAACCAGCCATTATGCCTTCTTGGACACTTATGGGACTCCCAGACATTCCTGGGTTAAAAAAATGTAACCTTCCAAAGCTAAGACAGCCACTCAGGTAATGAAGGTGGAGTGGTGTGCTACCAGAGTAGGAGACTTGACTACAGAGCTAGGCCAGGGATGGCTGGGTTTGACTATTTCATCTCTATCTGGCCTTAGATCTTTCTGGAATTGAGCAAATTACTGGCAAAGGTCCCATACTAGTAACCCTCTGGTTAGATTACTGAGACAAAATGTCAGTGGGCCTGGGGGAAACGCAAAATGGGTGGGCACGCAAGTGGATGAACACAAACAAGTAACTGGAATACCGTGTTGCTGGAAAGTTCAAGTTTAAAATGAAGACATGGGACACTACATCTGAAAGTAATGATGTACAGTGTATTAGCTAATTGAATTTAAATTTACAAAAAAGAAGAATGAAGCCAAGGGCCTTGGGCTAACCAAAAGAAAAGGATAAAAAAAAGCAGGTATTGATTTAAATCTAGTGAGTTGATAGAAGTCAACACTATGGATCATCTTTTTGAAAGCAGCTTCTGATTCCTTAGTCTGACAACTTTCAAGTGCTGAGTACTTGAGAAAAAAAAAATCTATCCATTTGAAGACAAGGGAAGAATAAAAGATCTGATCTGGGCAGCTAAGTTATATCTATGTGGGCCAAAGGAAGGCTCTTGGACAGATGCCACAGAGGCAGCTGGTGTCTGTGACATGGATACAGGACTCGAGGGTGATCTGTAATGACCTCTTACCGGGGATGGTTATGACTATCCGTAAAGCGTACCTATCTGCACCAAGACAAAGTTTTCGCAGCGTTTTCCCGAGTCACTAACTTCTGGGCAAGGCAGATCCCCATTGGGACAAGGAACAGAGACCGACATTGGAACCGTAATGCACTTACTCTGGATGAGCTGTTCGCACACCTGACGTGCAACTGCCCGCACCATGGCTTGAGACTGCAGGTCCCCCTGCGTGAGAAGAAAGCATCCTCTGAGTCTCGGCCACAAGCCCAGCCCCGTGGCCGGACTTCCGGCATGCAGATCTGACTCAACCCCCTGCTCCCACCTCGTTGGCTCCCACACCAGATAGGATTGGCCTCCATGGTGCAGAGAAGGAGGAAGTAATTTGACATTCATGGTGCAACGTTCCTGGGAACCTTCATTAAATGACAAATCAAGTATTTCTGGTCCCAGATTCTAAAAGAATTTCATAGTTTTGACACAAACCCATATACTTTGAATACCTCATTTATGGCTCTTTAGAGCTTATAAACGATAACATTTTCTCAGGCAGTGGCTTATTTCCTATTAGCACCAACTCCAAGGAAAAATGTTAAACCCATTTGATAAATGAACAGAGTTAAACATGTTGCCCAAGGGTTCACAGAGGTGACTGGATGAGCCCAAAATCACGGTTGTTTCTACTACAGGCGACAGCACAATTATATGAGCAGCTGCATAATTTCTCAAAAGAGAGAGAAGGTCCTGGAAATAAACTGATTTAAGTTCCTCAGCCAGTTCCTTGACTCTGCGTCTGCCATTGGCTGCCAATGTCCGCCCATCAGAGAAAACACAAGCCCCTTTCTACTACTTGGCATTTGCATAGAGTTTTTATTTTTCTGAAGCCTTTTTACGTCCATTATATAATTCTGTCATCAGATCCACTTTGGAGTTAGCGGAGTTTGATTCTCTCCATTTTATCCTTAAAGAAAGGGGCCCGAGGTCATCCAGCTGAATGGTAGCAGAGAGGCAACTAGAAACCAGCTCTCCTGACTTCTAGCCCACGGGGTGTTTTTCCACCTGACAACATGCCCACAGTCCAGTGGGTTGAGGAGAGGGAGGAGGGAGGGAACGGAATAAGAGCGATGAACAGTCATGGCAGTAACAGTCACGATAGTCGATGGTCATCCAGTCTCAGCCTTATGCAATGAAAGGTGTGCAGCAAGCTGTGCCTGGTGAACAGAGCCAGAGGATACTCACCCTTTCTCCGCGCTCTCCCTTGGCTCCAGGGATACCCTGTAAAAAATTTAAATTGTCAAGTTCCTTGTAACACTGCCTTCAGCTGGCCATAATGAGAGTGCACCTTTTCTTATTCTATTAAGATGGTTTTCCTAGCTCTAGCGATTCTGCAGCAAAAATCGGTACACAATAGGAATAAACAAACAGCAAACAGAAGTAACTCTTTTAAACATTTTACTCCCCCAGCCTTTTAATACGTAGACAGTATTTTTTCACACGAAATTGAGATCATGCAGCAATACTGCTTTGTGACGTCATATCACCGAATCGGTCATTTATATCTTTCCGACCTAAGCACCGCTCCGTGAATTGTACTCTACTGATGCTTCATGATTTATTTTACAAGCCTCTGCTGAATAGCTAAATTGTTTCCATTTTTAAAAGACTATCTCTCAAAGGAAGTAAACGATCTTCCATCCTAAGGGTTCAGGTAAGAGATGAGATTTGTGGATTCCCATAACTCTGCTTTCTGTCTGCATCACAGCACACAGTTCTTCTCCCCGATTCTCCCTGATAACAGGAACTCATATTAACGTGAATTCTCAGCTGAATTATTATTTTGTTGTGTGGCTTAGCTACTCTTTGAGCCGTAAGAAACTGTATTATTACCGTAAAAATTTTTACTGAAAAGATAATGGAGATTTCAAGTGTTTCTGTAATGAAATTATACTAATAAGCAAAACATGTGTCTTCAGAGCATTTCATCTTTTTGTTTCAACTCTGAAGCAATGTAATAGATCCACTGAACAACATTTTTATGTCTCTACCAAAAGGATAGCAAATAGCCTTTACAGATGGAATTTACCCACATTGTCAGACGGTTCCCCGTTGTTACAATAAACTCAACAAGTCCCAACCAAATATCTTCTCCAGAATCTCTATTCCATTAACAGTCACCTCAACTCAAAATTCTGATTTCACACCATTGGTGTGCAGGTAAATTGGCTTTCTGGAAAAATAAGATGCCCGGACTTGCAGAGTTTGCTGCTACTAGAGGCATAAATCTATCTACCATGGTTGATTTCAAGCTACAAACGTGCTGTCACTGAAGACAGAGTTGAGAAAGGAAGAGAAGAAGGTACAAGCAGCTTGAGCCCACCACTGGTTGTCTTTTCTCCTCCCTTCCCTTGCATCTCGTGTGTCTATTCAACACACACACATTTTCTTGCATTGCAATCTCTCATAGCCTTCTGTTCCATGACCCAGGTGCTACCCTCACTGTCTTACACCAGGGCATTTGAAACTTCCTTCTAATGGACTTCCCTAACTAAAGACCCCCCCCCTCCGCGTCTAGTTCATCCCCCACATAACCACGGGTCCTTCCTCAGACACTACCAGCATACAACTTAGAGGGCTCAGTGACTACTGAGTGACAGCAGCTCTTCCTCTATTCAGAACCACTCAGCGATTCTTAGACCCATGTGACAAAGTTGGTTCTTCAATTCAAAGTCTTTTGTTATCTAGTTCCAACCTCCCTAACTTCTACTCCTCAAAATTACACTTTTGCATCCCCACAGACCTGATCTACTCAGGGTACGAAGACATTTGAAATGTGAGAAAAATATTAAAGTATTTATAAACATAAATCTTATAAATTAGATATCAACAGGAGAAATATTCTAATGCAGTACTTAGTTCCAATACCAGTTATATGACACTGCATTTTTTATTATTGTCCAATGTACTTAGCTACAAGTCAACTCGTGGATTTCTCTTCTCTCTGTGTAGATGGTAAGATCTCTAACACTGAAAACCATAACTTATGTTACTTTCTATTTCTAAAACCACCTAGCCTGTTTCCCGTATAACAGAGTGACTCAGACATTCAACTAAGTCCAATATTAAATTGAAATAGTCATTATAAATCTAGGATTGCTGTCTACTTCCTCAGACCTTGAGCTTCCTTTTGTTCTGTCAATAAAGTGAGAAGAAAAATATTAGCTGACTTCAACTAGAAGAACAAATCCACCTTTTAGTGTACCATAAGATAATTTTTCAAGACTACAAATGAGATCAATAATCAACAACACCCAAGAGAACGTTATTGAAAAATATACACAAACTCATACACAGAATAGTACAACTTTAGTGCTGGGTATATAGGTGTTCACTCTAAATTCTTTGAATTCTGCTTGAAATTTTTCATACTAATATTTTGGGGAAAAACAGATGAGATAGGATCTGTAAGCCACTTAAACTCTCTGAGCTTCTTTGTAAGATCAGGCCATTAAGTTAAATGGTCTCCGGGGTTCCTTACAAGGATAATGTGTTAGCATCTCATAATGTCGTCATTATTTGGAACGGGGTAACACATGGAACAGAATTTATGAAAAATACAAAGCTGGACTTGCCAGGGGAGAATCACCAACTCTACAAAGAAAGCATATCCTCACTACAACCACTCTCAGCATGTAAGTTCCATAGTCAGTCTGTGTCTAGCTCACAAACTCCTGTTCCCCAGTTCCCGGGACGGTGCTTGGGCCAGAGCAAGTGCTCAAAGATACGTGAACCGAATGAATGAGTGAATGAATGAATGAATGAATGGCTGAATTTTACTGCAAGTAAAAAGAGTTGATTCTGTAAAAAGTATCCAAGAGTTGATTCCGTTAAAAAGTATCCAAGAGTTGATTCTGTTAAAAAGTATCCAATCTCAGGCGCCTGGGTGGCTCAGTTGGTTAAGCGACTGCCTTCGGCTCAGGTCATGATCCTGGAGTCCC